GGAGAGCGCCTAGCTGAAGCCACACTAAACATCCCCTCCTCTGCAGAGGGAGAGGGGCAGAGCTCCCAAATATCAGGTGTCTAAGTTGGTAGGGGGTCCTTGCAGGCTACCCCAGGGTTTGGAGAGTGCCTAGTTGAATCCAGCCTAACTATAAACTCTTCTGCAGAGTGTGCGGTAGAGAGAGCCTCCTTACTCTCCCCCCTCAGTTAAATGTCAGGGTGTCTAAGTTGTTAGGGGGTCCCTGCAGGCTACTCTTGGGGTTGGACAGAACCCAGATGAACCTAGTCTAAATATATGCTGCTCTGCAGAAGGGAGGGGCAGTAAATGTCTGGCTGTCAAAGTTGGTGGGGGGGGGGTCTCTGTAGGCTATCTTTGGGGTTAAAAGGAACCTAAGTATGGGCTCCCCTGTAGAGGAGGTCAGAAAGATCTTCTCCCAGTAAATTTCAGAGTGCCTAGGTGGTAGGGGGTCCTTCACTGTCCTTGTCTGGTGCTGGAGAGAGCCCAGGTAAATGCAGAATTAAATCCAGCCTAAGTATGAACCCTACCGCCAACTTGAGGGAAGAGGCTGGTGATCTCTCCCTCTAGTAAATGTTGGGGTGAAGTTGGTTAGGGGTCCCTTGTGGAACCCCACTGCCCTCCTAAGGTGGCAGATGAGTGTCAGGTTGTCAGGGCTATATCTAGGGGCTGCTGAACCAGTGCCTCCAAGCAGGGAAATGGGGGGGGGAGTAGAGAGAGGGAGAGGCTGTCTATTCATTCATAGCAATCCCCTGAGTAACTGGGACCTGTGAAGAGCAGGGTTTAGGAGATAGGTGAGCATAGGTGCTGCCCAGTGTAGGAATTTGGGAAAGCTCAAAATAAGTACCCGTTTTGGGGTTCCCAGTATCATATGTGTGTGTGTGTGTGTTGGGGGGGCAGGCAAGCTGCAAACTAAATACCTTCTAAAGTCCTTTCCAGCTCTAAAACAATAATGATGGGAACCTGGCAGAACTGTAGGGCAAGGGAGGTGAGCATTTAGAGCAATCAATTCATAGGGGTACAGTTGGCAAGGAAAGAGGGGACCTAATGGCCGTGTGGAGGGAGCAAAGTGGCTGAATTTCCCTAGGGAGGCCAATGAGAACACTTAGCCAGTGTACCAAGGCACGCACCTAACTTTGATTGGCTAGGTCTGGAACAGCTGGCAAAGATGATGCCTTGGGTGGGCACACCTTGGTGCAATATCTGGCCATCTTGGGGAAATGAGTTACCCCCTTCCCCCAGTGACCATGGCAAAGTCGCAGTGGCTAGGGTAGACAACCATGCAACAGAATTGGGGATGCCAGGAGCCACACAAGTTTGGGGGAGGAGAGGTGGAGCCTAGCAAGAGTCTGGGAGGAAGCGGGCACTTCTGTGTCTGGACATGAGCTGAATATAGGGCAGTGCTGCAAATGGCAGGGTACTTCACATTTCACCCACCCATCTTACAGAGGAGGAAACTGAGGCTCATGCCATATAAGATGGAGGTGGGGATGAGTCCCCTCTTCTAGGGTACTTGTCTAAGTGGGCTCTACTCTCTGAGCCTAACAATAAGGCAGGAGGGGCAGCTAGGTGGCGCAGTGCATAGAGCACTGGCCCTGGATTCAGAAGGACCTGAGTTCAAATCCGGCCTCAGACACATAACACTTACTAGCTGTGTGACCCTGGGCAAGTCACTTAACCCCATTGCCTAGCCAAAAACAAAACAAAAACAAAAACAAAACCCAAAACAGTAAGGCAGGGAGGCTCTGCTTATCACAGCCTCCCAGCTCCAAATGCAGTGAGAGTGCCACCCAATTGGTTCCAGGGACCTATACCTTAGGGGGCAGTAGAGAAGCCCCAGTAAAGACCAGAGGTGTGGGGCCAAGTCCCCCTCCCCCAATCAGGCACAGCTGCAAGGCCCTAGAGCTGGGCTGAGCAGCAGCCCGGAGTGGAGTTGTAGGAAGGTAGAGGAACCAGCGCTGGGAATTAGTGACGACTGCCCGTTAGGAGGGAAGCTGCTAGCCAAGGCACGGCTGCCAACAAGCCCTGCCACTGAAATGAATGAACTGAAAAGCTGCCCAGACGGGGGCAGAATCTTCCCAGAAAAGAGGCCAGTCTTGGCTCTTGTTCCAACTTCTGGGAAGGTGGCAAATCTTAGCCCCGAGCCCCCCCCACCCCCACCCCCCAGCTCCATGGTTTGGACTTTCCTATAGGACCAGCACCCTGAGCTGACTCCAAACCCATCATGGGCCTTGTTTTTCTTTTCCCTCTCTCTTCTACGAATTTGTGAGAAATCCCCTAGAGACAGACGGTGCCCCTGCAAAACAGCAGAATAGTATTTCTGCCCCAGCTGCCCAGGGGTGCTTCATGACCCTCCCCTTCAGCAGAAGCAGCAGGGTTTCAGGGTCAGCCTGCTACCACTCCTGATACCTTAATTAACAGGCTGCTACTACAGTCAGAGACTGGCTGTGTTGTCTTCTTCATATAGGGAAGCAAGAAACAGGAAGGAAATGCAATTAAACTCTCAGGGCATTTTGCGTTGTTAAAAGCATTAGCAACTAAGAAATAGACACTGAAACAAGACTTTCAGGAATGGACAGTAATTTCACATTTTTTCTCACTGCCTGTGGATGGTTCTTCTCGGTTTCTTCACTTGCACAGCAGCCTGCAGCCTGCATCCTGGCCCCGATTTTCCAAGCCTCTCACATTTTCTCTCTCTCTCTCTCTCTCTCTCTCACTCCTTTTTCTGTCACCCCCAGATGATGGTACTATAGCCTATATGACTGCCTAGCAACGGTCCTGTGTGGAAATCATTGCAAATAATGGGAACAGTACTTAGGGAAAGGAGAAAGTGACAAGGGGGGAGGGAAAGATGCAAGCAGTGACAAACAGGAGATGCATTTACTTGTTGATGGGAATGCTTTAAACAAAACCCTGGCTGGCCTTTCAGGGCCCTGGCTTTTTTGCCTTTACAGCAGTCGGGGATAGGGGACTTGGGAGACCTTGGGCTGGATTGTGAGATGCTACATGACTGCTTGTGGCTTGCAATATTTGACTGGTTTTTGGCCAGTGGAATGGGGATTAAAGCGGCCAGGATGGCTGCAGTGATGTAGAGAGAGTAAATGGTGTATTTCCCAGGGTTTTCTCTGTCTGCCCCCCTGCTGGGCCTGCTCTGCAGTCTGCTCTCTTCTCAGACAGTTGCACTTTGGAAGCTCTAGCATGGTGGGGGGCCTTGCTCTTTAGGGCTGGAGGGAGTGCAAAGGCACAGGGTGTACAAATTTGGGCACCCCTTTTTGGTGTGTGTGTGTGTGTGTGTGTGTGTGTGTGTGTGTATGTGTGTGT